GCATAGATTAATACAAAAAACAGGAAGGCTGATCACTGAAGACTTTCAGAAATCAGGCTATTACTGAATGGTATGCAATTGTGTGATTGTCTTGTCAAGACCTTCTAGAAAGGCTTAGGTCAAAAGTCAGAATGTAAGAAGTATCAATAGTAATAAAACAATAGTAATAATAACTGCTTTGTAGACATGTTCTTATTTTTTGTCTGTGGTGCTAAAGATTGAAACCAGGGCCTCATATAGGCAAGGCAGATATTTTGCCTCTACACCATATTCCTGGCACCCAGCAAATATGTTCTTATTAGTTCGGTGCTCATTGACCTAGGAAACTGATGTCAGATAACAGGGCTTGATTTCTGGTTCCATAATGCTCTTGTCTCCTAATGCCTTAGTTTTCTCATCTGAAAAATAGGGTGAAGAATCATAACTACTTCAAAGAGTTATGGTAAATGAGTGGATCCATGAAGCAAGTGTTCAGTCATGGTAGCAATTATTCCCTTGTGGTGGTCTTCATCTGGACCGAATCTATTTCCATGGGAAAGACTTTCCTTCTTACCACTCTCTCTAAATACTGCAGCACATCTTGAGGTCTTGAGTGGAATTTTATGCTAATAATGTTATATCCATTGGCTTAAAAAGGGATTTATTAGTTTATTTACTAGTTTATTAGTTTCTGTTTGCATTTTCTTTCCTGACAAGAATATGGTTTCTCCCAAGTAGTGCTGTCCCTTTCTCCTGTTTAACCTGGGCTTCTCTGAAGAAAAAGAATAATGGGCCTGAGAGAAATAGAAACGTGTGTTCGGGTGCTTGCCTTCCACAGAATCAACTTACATTCAATCTCCAATCTGCATATGATCCATACAACCAGGAGTGGCATAACCCTCAAAGCTTGGCCTTATTGTAGCACTGCTTTTGCCCAAAGTGGGTATTCAACTCTGCACCTTGCCATTATCTTCTTGAAGGACTAAATCAATGTATTGGCACTAGATTTTTTAAAAGTCTATTTTGGTGTTCTAGTGAGTAGCATAAATAAAGCCTAGGGTCATATGTATAGGACTTCTATAAGGCTAGATGCAGAATGAGGATACTGCATAGACGTCTTAGTATTCATGTTAAGAGTTTTGAGTTCAAAGGAGAGAGAGGACAAAAGGGAATGCTCTGCCACAGAGGCAGGATGGGATGGGATTGGAGTGAGAGGGATACTGGGATCCGTGGTGGTGGAAAATGGGCACTAGTGGAGGGATGGGTACTTGATCATTGTATAACTGAAACCCAAGCACAAAAATTTGTTAAATCTACAGCTGTACCTCATGGTGTTTCACTAATAAAAATTAAAAAATTAAAAAAATTAAAAAAATAAAAACTTGAGAAAAAAAGAGTTTTGAGTTCAACCTTAAGAACAGAATGGAGTCACTTTAAGGAAGACAAATTGGGATTTCCCAATCTTTTGCAAGATACCCTGTTATCTTGCAAAATATTGGGAACTTAGTCATTCTCTCTTATGTCATAATATCCTAGTCAGTCTGATAGATGTTCTGTTACTCAGAATAAACTGAATAACATACTAATTCATCTATATTGTAAAGTATCGTTCTGTAACTTATCTGACCAAGGTAAGTATAATGCACAGCTCCTTTGTAGGAAAGTAGACTGTTGGTGAAAATAATGTTAATTACATGTTGTATTTCAAGTCACAGAAAAGACAATCAGCTTAGGGGATGCTCTTTTACAACCTCTTTCTGACCTTATAAATGAAAGCCTAACATCAATTAAAGAGAATTGCTACCTAATTTATTTTCAATGTAAGAGAAGTATCTGTATGTGCAAATTTTATATTGTTAGGTAATTTAAAAAAATGTTTCATCAGTAAACTACAGCTCCTTGAGTGTAAGACCTTTGTTTCTTTAACAGTATGGAGGGAGCATACCTGTCTTCAGACTCCAGATTTGTGGACTTTCCAACAGACTCTTTTTTGTTTTTTTTTCTGGCCATACCTGGTTATGCTCAGGGATTACTGACTCTCTGCTCAGGGACACCTCCTGGCAGTTCTCAGGGAACTATATGGGTGCCAGGGATCAAACTCGGGTTAGCTTCATGCATAGCGAGCACCTTACCCACTGTACCACCTCTCTGGTCCTCCAAGAGACTCAAAATATAAAATGGAAGTCTGTAAAATTAAGATGAAGCAAAAAATGTTTAAAGATGTACCAACATGACAGGGGGCGGGGAGGGGGAATGTTAGGGTGGAGCTTTTAAAACAAGGTACAAAGCTTCCCATGAGTTCAAATGAAAAATCTCAGCTGATCAAATAAAAAAAAACTCCCTGTTGAGTCAAAGGGAGGAGAGACAAATACTTTGTTTTTTTGCAGCCTGAACAGAGAAAGAGAGAAACAGAGCAGAAGACTGAAGATCAAACAAAATGAGAACCAGGATGGCCTCTTTCTGGCCACCCAAAGCTGTCAGTTCTCATCCTAAAGGTTATGAAAGGTTTTTTGAGACTCACTGAACAAATGAGATTCTGTTCCTTCCTTGGGAAAACTTGTTTATGCTGTATCCATTTTTAGACCTTATAAAAGTTGGTGAACTCAGTTCTTCCCCGTTGCCCAAATTCTTTCACACTCAGCAAATATCAACAGGAAAGGGCTTCGGTCATGGATAACAATGAAAGTAGCGAGCTCACACAGGGCCTTAATAAGCTGGCTATACCAACTGAGGAAAAGACAGAATGCCAGTTCAGACTCATATTTATTAAATAACAGGTCTGAAAAAGGAGGAGAAGATCCAGAAATCGAGGTAAATTTATTCTAACACTGACAATAGCTTTGTCTTTTGCAGAACTCATACGGGGCTCAGGATTCATTTGGCAACTGTCAAAGTTTTCAAGCAGAAAATTATTCTCCATAGCTAAAACTTGGTTAAACAAATTTCACTATGCAAGGAAAAGCCAAGCTACTTTTGGAAGTGCAGTGGGGGAAGAAATTTAAGGCAGGAAGCCAGAAAATAACAGTGTCAGGGAGATAGGAAATGCCGTCCCCAAGCAAAAATTCAGGGAAATTAGTGTTGGTACTTGCAGGTTATCCAGGGATAGTTGGGGGCAGGAGCAAGGGCAGGCTTATCCTGAAGTGTCAGCTAACTATAATCTAAAAATCATGTGGAAGCAGAGCTGGCAACAATGCCAACCAAATCTTAGGTAAGATATCAGGCAGTTTGGTCCAGTAGTCAAAGTCATGAAAATCTGAGCAACAAAATAAAATGACAGACATGCATATGCTGCCTTGGCACATGTATACTTTTAGAATTGAATGTAGGAGCTCGCTCAGTCTTTGAAGAAGCCCATATTATCTCTTGAGCACATTACTCTCTCTCTCTTCTTCCGCTTCCCTAAAATTTCTAAATAAAACTTGGTTTTATCTCAAAAACTAAAATAAAATGACAAAAGTGTATGTTCATAGAATAATTATCCAGAACTTCATATTTGTAGAATTAAATAATCATGTGAATAAACACTAGGTGGGGATGGAGATATACTTCTCCAAGAGGAATCTATTCATGAATGTAGCAAAAAATAGGGCAACTGGAAATCATTGTGATAATTGTTATAGGCAAGAACTAGTTATAGAGCCTTGGTATTGCAGGTAAAATTACAATCTAGAAAAATACTAATATCCTTAACAAGCAGGTGTTTGGTATCTTTAAAATGGTTCAAAATACCTTCTCAAAAAATAGTATCTTTACTATGCAGACACCACCTTGATCAAGTGCATATTAAACATCATCAAAATCACGCATAACAACTTTTGTTGTCCCAATAATGAGGCAGTGAAAGGGCACAGAATCATTTCAGTGATATTCCTGTACCATATTAACCATCCCAACCAAATCCTAAAAAACATCAGAGAAATCCAAAATGAGAGTCCCTCTATATTGTCCTAAATTCCTCACATGCATCAGCATCATAAAAGACAAAGGACTAAGAACTCTCACAAGTGAAATGAGACTAAGGAGTAACAGATGTGGAATGAAGTGTGGGACCCTAATCCAGAAAACCATTCGAGTACGTCCTATAGATTAAGAGTGTTATACTAATGTTGATTTTCTGTATTGAGTAAGTGGGTATGATAATAATATCAGGGGACACTGGGTGAAGGAAATATAGGAGAATCCTGTATTATTTTAGAAACCATCATGAGTATAAAATCACTATGAGACGAGTTTAAAAAAAATGAGGGTTTCTTCGCTTAATTCAGCACATTGTCCAAACCGGGTTGGCATGCGTAATTTCTAAGGTGAGGTCTATGATGCTAATGAAAACTGAGACAAGAGTTAGACAAAAGATTAAATAATGTAGATCTCAGCCACTTACCTTTCTGGGAAGATCAGAGAATAATATTCTCTAAATAATAACATTCCTCCAATTCCCTGAGGAATACTACATTTCTTGCTATTATCTCTTTTCAAAAGCCTAGGCAAATATATCAGATCATCCCATTTGTTTTTCCCCTCAAATAAAATTATGTCCATAAAAATGAATTCTGAGCCAAATCTATCACCTGGACTTTGTAACTCTTAAAAACCTTAACACACACACACACTAAACACACACACACAAAACACACACACACAAACAAACAAACAAAAAAACCTGAATATGTTTCTGAAAAATCTCATCTATTTGATAGGAGAAATAAATGTTAGAAATGATTTTGGTCTTCATCTATTGAAACATGTTAAATATTCAGAGAAATATATCAAAGGAGAAGTAATTAAACTTTAGGAAGGGAGACTCAAAAATTTTGTGCTGCAAATGTGTCTTTTGGCTTAAACCTTAGTTTCTGTTTTAACACAAATCCCAACTGTTCTGGAATGTCTAAGGACAGTGACATCTCATACAATTATCATGAGGTCGATGCTTTAGTAACCTTAGAATCATGCTTGAAGCAAGTCATGTGACATCACTTTGACGGCGCATCCACCCCTGTGCCATGGTGGTGGACCACACATACCTCCCACAGCATTGCACCGAGACGTCATTTCCCAGAGCACCAGAGCCATGGAGTAGACATCAGTCTGCTTGAATGACTCAACATTCTCTAAATTCATCCTGGACTCTAGAACTTCTGGGGCCATATATCTTGCAGTTCCCACCTGAAGCAAAAAGCAAAAACATTGAGGGCCATAATTTAATTCAAGTTGCATATTTGTTTTCAAAAGATAGTTGATGTTTGTCCCCTACATATGCAGTTGACCTTTACAAAGTACAATGCTCTTTTTAAAAAATGAGACCTAAACAAGAAAGGTACATCTTATGCAATTATTTTTAAAAATAGGTGTGCTCTCCCTTAAAGCCCTTTAAAGGACATAAACAAAGCATGTCAAAATAAGAAAGTGCCAACCCCCAGGGCTGCTTCTTCTAACCCCATGATATATGTCATCATTTTACCAAATAATATCCTTGCATATAAAATGCTGAAGGATAGCATCAGTAACCCTAGGATGGTTATTTTTTGCTTCCATTAATTGGACATTTTTTTCAAACTCCATGATTTATGATGAAAACAATAACAAAGCAATAATAATTGCTACTGATTTTGTTCAGAATAGTCTTCCTCTCAGTTTTTGCTTATCCCATGACACATTCCAGTGTTCCAAAAATGAAGTATAATTGCATACAGTATCTATTAATTTAAATATGAAAGTACATCCATAATAAAGAGTCAAATCTGGATCATTTTTCATCTTTGATAAGAAGGCTATGTAGTTTTATTTTGTTGACAACTGATAATATGAAAAATACTATGATTGATAAGAAAAATATTTCAAGGTAGAGAGTCACTTTAAAAGCTATGTTTGTAGTATAAAGTACTTCATTAATAACAGTAAAGTTCTACCTTCCCAAGGACCTTAGGAAAATCAGGAGGAATTAACATTATAACATTATAACTGAAAGTAATGTTTGTTATTGGCAAATATTAGAAGAATGTTTTGTTTTTACCCCATTATGACTCACACCCCTGGCACATGTTCTTCCATGTTTTCCCAATACTGCAAATGCAGCCATCGAGCAGTGGACCAAACACTTGATTCTAATTGGTTAGAGAAAACAATGGTACTTTCTGGTATGTGAAACATAAGCCCTATCATTCATAAAGGGTGTTTTGGTAATTTCCAGTCCCTTTGCAATAGCTCCAGAGCTAGAAAGCTTTATACTTTAATTTGAAGAATGTTTTAATAGTTAAATTGTTGATTGCTCAACCAACAAATGCTTACTGGTTACTTTCACTGTACAAGAAATTGTTTTATGTGTGACCCAACAGTCATGGATTTGGATGTCAAAGAGTTTGCCTTCTAGAATGGTCAAATACACCTACTAATAGTATAGTTGTAAGGGCAGAGTAGAACCACAGAAGGGTAAATAAATAGAGATAAAAGAACTATCAGTATTTAAAGTAAAGAAAAATAATTTTTAAGTCAGAGAGAAATGAGGGTTGACTAAATGAGAAAATTCTGAATTGGAAAAGATTTGTATTTGTTAGCCAAAGTACTGTGGCAGGAAAGACTTGGGCATGCCTACTGCGACTAGATCCACTAAGCAAATGTTCAAAGCATAGATTGCTAGAGAAAAAGACACAAGGCAAGAGTCAAGAGATTAAATGAGGAACAAAGTGTGTGTGTGTGTGTGTGGGGGGGGGGGGGGGGTTGTCATGGACTAACTCACCTGCCCACTGTTGGCCAAGTCATCCACAGACAGAGTTGGGTCCAGACGCAGGGAAAGACCAAAGTCACACAGGCAGCAGGTCAGGTCATTCTTTACAAGAATGTTGGAGCTCTTGAGGTCCCTATGCACAATGGGCATCTTGGGTGTCCCACACAGGGTGTGATCACTATGCAGGTGAGCAATGCCCCGGGCCAGGGAGCTGCCCAACTTGCGCAGGTCCTCCCAACTGATGACATGCCTGGTGAGGTACTCCTGCAAGTTGCCCTTGGCATGGAAAGCTGTAATCAGCCAATATTGCTTCCCCAATTCAGTCTTCCGCTCTTCGGCTGTCAGGAACTGGAGAATGTTCTCATGTTTGAGGTTGATGTCGGAGAAAATGTCTTTCTCTGTCTTCCAGGACGCATATTCCTCGTAAGGGAAGATTTTAACTGCCACGGTCTCAAACTGCTCAGAAGTGTTCTGTTTCAGCTTGGCCTTGTAGACCTCAGCAAAGCGGCCTTTGCCCACCAGCATGTCCAGTTCAATGGGCAGTAGCTCGGTGTTGTGGTTGATGTTGTTGGCGCATGTGGAGCTGATGTCTGAGCGGTCATCCTCCAGGATGATGGCCAGGTGCTCGCTGAACTCCATCCGCTTCCTCGGTTTGCTGGTCTCCCATGAGGGACTCAGTTTCTGCTGCCGGTGCACACGGTAGCAGTAGAAGGTGACAATGACAGCAATGGCGATCCCCAGGGGTGGCAGGAGGCTGACACCTGTCACTTGGAATATGACTAACCACAAGTCGGGATTGTTGCTGGCAATATCTGAGGTGGGAACAAAAACAACAGAGAGAAGGCAAATTCAGTAAATCTGCACTAGGTGAAAGTGGAGACCCATCTCAGACATCCTGAGATTTTATATTCTTATTTTGTGTGTTTGTATGAAGGGAGAGCGATAAAGAACTTTTATTCCAGGAAAATTTGCACTTATCACTTCTTCCCTGCCTATGGCAGTCTCACCAATGTCTCCTCTCAAATTTCAGCTTAAATGTCATTTCCTAAAGAACTTGGAAAACTTGGAAATTTACTTCTAGCAGTCTCATATTTCTATATCATTTCTATAAGACATATCGAATACTCTCGGTAGCTTGCCGGGCTCTCCGAGAGGGGCGGAGGAATCGAACTCGGTTCGATATGCCAGACACAGTAACAACAAAGTCTCCAATGGAGACGTTACTGGGCCTGCTCGAGCAAATCGACGATCAACGGGAGGGCCTTCTATAAGACAGTTTAGCGCCATGAATAATAATTATGATCCCATTTATAGTTTTCTACCTTTTGTTTCATACTGTCTCCATCCCCCAGACAGCTCCACACTGGCAGGGGCTTTTTTTTATCATGGCAAAGTACATTGAGAGCAATAAATGCTGTCTAATCAGGTTAAGCTGCTACAAAGTGCCAAGTAAGCTCAATTAATTATAGGAGGCTTTGGCAATAGATAAAGAATGGTAGTGGCCACTGTGGTGAAGGGAATCTGTGGATGGTTTTCTTTCAAAGTCAGTACCTTATATCCACTCAATATTGTTCTTTTTGGTTTTATTTGTATCTAGACCACACCCAGAAATTCTCAGGGCTTCCTCCTGAACCTGTAATCAGGAATAACCCTGGCAGGCTCAGAGTACCATATGGGGTGCTGGAGATCAAACCTGGGTTGGCCACATACAAGGCAAAAACCCTATCCACCGCATTGTTGCTCCAGTCCCATAGTACATCTTTCTTGAATGCAAGTGCTTTGTAATGTCACAGAACAGTGACAACTAACAGCAACAATGAAGACTGCATAAAAGCAAGAGAATTTAAATAAGAAAAAGTAGCTGGGGCAGGAGAGATAGTAGGTAATGTGCTTGCCTTGCATGTAGCAAACCCACGTTGGTTTTCCAACACCTTACAGAGTTCCCAAGCCCTGCTAGGAATGATCCTTGAATGCAGAGCCAAGAGTAACCACTGAGAATTGCCACTTGTGGCCCCCAAACCGAAACCAAAGCAAACAGAAAAGAAAACGCAGCTAAGTTCCTGTCTTAGACCCCTGAAGCAGAGCCTGTGGGTTGACAGAAGAGGGTCCTTAGCACCAGCTACTTAATTTCAATGTACTATTCATTCATGAGCTGGTTCTGGTTAGCTTTGATTAAATAGTTTCCTCTTGGGAGGAAGGGCATGGATGGAATCATTCAGTGAGGGTAGGAGATAAGTGAAAGTAGTTATAGTCCTGTGAAAGTGCTATGCTAGCTGTCTCCCTTGGGCCACAATGCCAAAACATTATTGCTTTATAGGTCTTTCAATCCTCTAGCAAAGGTATTATTAATGAGCAGGCCTCATGCTCAGATGTTAGAGGCATTCGGTAAACATGGCACTTAGGAGTCTGTACTATGGAACATGTCATGGGTCTCAAAAAGAAATTAGGACAGGAATACTAATGCCTGGCAAAATATGGCAGTGTGGGATAGGTGCTAGTTGTGTGCTCCAATCTATGCAGTGTTGTAATGTGGAAAAGTTTAGGAAAACAAGAGAGAAGAAGCCCAAAAACTGTCTCTGCGTTGATCCATGAAAAAAGGGGAAAAAATCAGTTATGGGTTGCAGGCATGCTGTGCCAAAAAGAAAGAACCAACAGCTCTGCACAAGGGAATAGAAAGGAAAGGGATGGGTAGCTGGTATGGAACTAGACATGATGTCAGAGAACGCTAGTAAATTACTGAGTAAATAAATGGCTTTCACCTACTGTAGATATTTAAGCCAAAAAAGAAAGGAAAAGAAAAGAAATGTGAAGGGAATAAAGTCCACTGGAATGGTGTTCATCATAACCACTCAAAAAGAACACATTACTTAAATTTTTGTATTTGACACCAAAACTTCACAAACATGGTAAGACATTAAGTACATTGGGGTGTTTAGAATTCTATAGTTCTCTAGCCTACTTTTCAGGCAAGTTTGAAATGGAAAATAGCTTCATTTTCTTGTTTTCTTTTCTGGATGAAAACTTAAGGTTTTAAAACTAGTATCTTGAAACTATTGATATCACTCTAAATTAGTAAAATATTACCCAAACAGCAGAATTTCTGCAACCAAGATTTTTTTAGAAAAAAATGATCACTACTGGGAACAAAGATACACTAATGTATTAGAAAGACATGGGGAATGACACCAGAGGGATTGTACAGTGATTAAGGTACTGTCCTATCATCACATAGCAGATCTGATTTAATCCCTGACATTCCATATTGTCCATAGAGCCATGTTCAGGAGTGACCATGTTCAACTCTGAGCAGAGTCAGGAGTGAGCACTGAACATTGTTGGGTGTGGCAAAACAGAGACAAAATAAGAATAGGTATAGGATAACATTGTTTTGTCCTTCCTGCATAGCCTCAAGAAGTCTAGGTTTATTGGTTGCTCCCATCACAGTGCTCCCATTCCTCTGTGTTTATTTGTAACTTCTTTCTTTGTGCTCTGTTAACTTGTAAATACTGTTTTTCTCTTCTCCTTAAATCCTTCGTCTAGTTTATTCAGAGCAATGTCCTTTTTGAATGGACACCAGAAGACAGTATATGCTATGCTTTTGTAATGTGACTTTCAGTTTTATTTTCCTCCTGGGCATCTGTTCTCTCAACCTAAGACTTAGCTGCCCTTACTTCCTAGCAAAGCAGGGTCCCAACGAGGGACTGGATGGAACCAGGGCAAGCGGTAAGCTATGTGCTACCCTGGCATCGAGATGGGCCTGGCTAAAGTGCCATAATGTTTAACTGTAAGTTAAGAGCTTGGTCATGGACAAATGCTGTCATGATCAAAAAAGTAATAATTAGATTCAGACCCTGCTAGGATTAAGAATGATTAATCTGGCCTGAGCACTGTAGTCTGCGTCTGTGGCAAGATGTTCCCAGGAGAGTTGCCCTCAATGTTACAAGCCTCAATGTTATCTTTTACTGTGTCCATACAAAAATAACTAGTATTAAGAGATTGATAGTTATTCGACTGAGGAAAGTAAAAAAATGCCTTAAGAAGTATTTTGTCCTTGGGCAGTCAGCAAGGGCTTTGGTATACTTCTTGGGTGGTGTTTCCTTTGAACCTGCTGGGCCCTCAGGAAGGGCTTTCTTATGTTGATTTTGCTAACAGACTTGGTATAGCAAGAGTCCAGAGTGCTGGGGAGTTGGACACTGAGAGTCACATTACAAAAGCATAGCATATACTGTCTTCTGGTGCCCATACAAAAAGGACATTGCTCTGAATAAACTAGGCAAAGGATTTAGGGAGAAGAGAAAAACAATATTTTCAAGTTAACAGAGCACAAAGAAAGAAGTTACAAATAAACACAGAGGGATGGGAGCACTGTGATGGGAGCAACCCAATAAACCTAAACTACCTGAGGCTATGCAGGAAGGACAAAACAATGTTATCCTACAAATAGGGAAATGAATTTAAGTTCCTGGTTGATTCTGTAAACATAAACTCTTTACACTGAAGACATCAAAATAGATCCAGGGAAAACTGGGATAAGTGGTGAATGTGGCCATGAGACAAGCAGTTATGGCTAGCACTGTAACTACAATAGGAAAAAACAAAAATGTTTCATGAAGTATATGGATTATTGCTGTTGTTCTGTGGAGTAAAAGTCAGCCAGAGAACAATGTGAAGGAAACGAATGAAATAGTATTTAGGTGCAACAACAGAAAAAGTCATGCCATCTCCCTCTTTCATCTGAAGACCCCAGCAATGGTGTTTGCTTTAAGTACTCCGTATGTGTAATTACATGAGATGTCTTATAATCTAAAATAGTGTGATTCTCTGATAGTTTCTTTTTATCAAGAGAAAATAAGCCAGACAGAGGTAAAGGCCAAGTGTATTTTGATCAGCTAGCTCCTGAGTGATTTTAGACTTGTTTTATTTTAAAAAGTTTTTTATAAAGAAGGAATTAAAAGTTTTATTTAATTAAAGAGGGAACAAAAGGGGGGATTGAAAAAGGGAGAAATAAAAGTAAAAAATTATAGGCCAACCGTGATTTCTGCCTTGAAATATTTACTATTTGATCTTTCGTGGGTAAAGGTGAAATGATCCCTTTTATAAAGAAGCTGCTTTCATAATCTGTAATACACTGGCAGAATTTCTAGAACATTGAGAATGTCTTTTATATTTGGGAAAATAATACAACTATAAACATTTAAACTATTGTTTACATAGCCATATCTCCTGTATTCTCAATTCTGTGAAGCATCCAAATAAACTATTTATTTAATATCAATAATACCAGTAATTTAATTTTATAACGCCTAGTTTTGTGTGAATAGTGTTTTTCATGCTAGTTCTATCCCATTTAAGGTCAAACATAAATAGAAACTCAGAAAACCTCTGAAATTTATGTGTGGCACTGCTTGGATGAGATTCTAGAAATCCCCTGTTCACTGTCAGAAACCAATGTTTTACTTTCTTTCCTTGACTTCCTGTGAGTTGTTTTAAAAAAACCTACATATAACAGTTTGGTAGAGAGGAATTACTGAACAACAGCTGTCAATCTTGAAACTGTAAAAGGTGGTTAAAAAGCATTTAGGGCTAAAGGAAATCTCTAGGATGTGGCTTTATCTAAAGAAGAGCCACCCACATACTCTCTAAGTATTAAAAGCTTTGTGCAGCTACTCAAAAAACCATCAGATTTAGGTGTAGGTAGAAGCCAGAACTTCCTTTACTCAGAGATCAGCAAGAAGTACTGCTTTTCACCACCCCCAATTACACAGAAACACACAAATCAAACTTATCTGACTCCCATACTTCTTTTGCCCAC